CATTTGACAGAATTATAGCCTCCTTGCAAAACAGATCGAGGTACATATGACTACTTCCGGAGAGGGTGTTTTCAGAAACAAGATAACCAGCTGACAACTGTGGGCGCTGGGAAATTCCTGCCAGACTTATGCACTCTAGCTGGTCTTACTGAGCCAAAACGGAAGCTTGTAGAAAGTATTCTGTAACTGCAATGATAGAATTGGATTTTGAAAGAAGATCCTGCCTGGGATTCAAGGTGCCTCTGGTTTTGACTTAGAGGAGGAATGATTTACCCCATCAATAAACACATTTATATTGCATTTACTGTGTGCCAGGCAGCCTCTCAGGATATAGTAAATATTTACTCATTTAATCCCCATAATCAATCTATAGGCTCTAGAGGACTCTCCTAGCTGCAATTGTAGTCAGAAGGTTGAGAAGTGTTGAGATGTGTTGAAATCATTTGTTTTTCTTTCTGATTTGAAGACAGGATGGTGAATATGCTTAGTAGAATTTAGAACTATGTCACTGACAGAGCAAATTAATCAACAGTCAAATCCAGGGAGAAAAGGTCAACTGCCTACTTTCTCTTGGCAGCAGGAATGGGGAAGAGAATCATTCTTGCAAAGATTCATCACTTTTTGATGCTTTCCAGAAGTGGTGATAGATTTGCAATGAGCCATCAAATTTTTTCCTTTCTTTTAAATCTCCCACATATATTTGTAGTATAGTACAGCTGTCTTGGTGCATAGAGGCTCCTTGGGTCCTGAAATCAAACATTAATATCCACGTGGAAATCAAACCTGTGCCCTTGGTTTGATAAGCCAAGAGGATGCGCCAGAAGCGGATCCTCAATAAGTAATTTTTTGTGACACTTTTTACCACACGTCAAAAACTGATCCTATCTTGGAAATAGCTTTGATGAACATTAGTGTAAGTTTACTGAAGTACATAAAAGCAAAGAGGACTATGAAGTAAGTTTGGGGAGCTTTTGGTTCTAACTATTATATGCACGTGTGTTTTACATGTTAACATTTAAATCCTGTAATACTCTAATCGAATCTTCATTTCACAGATGAGGGAACTAAGTTAAATGACTTGCTGATGGTGAATAGGTGAGGGACAGAATTCGGAATCTGATCTGCCTGTAGAACCCATTGCTCTCATGCTGTAGCTTGAAACACATTTTTTTTTTTTTTTCATTTGAAAAATGATTTGTCCCCAGTGGTACTCACTGACCATGCAAAACTTTAATTGATCTTTCCATGCGACAGCGTACTGCCTATCCAAAAGGAATAGCAATAGTTAAAAACCCTTCTCTGTAATTAAGTCTTGGTTCCCCTAACAACTCCACCATGTAATTAAACTTATTTCTCCAATAGGCAGATATGGTTCACAAAGAATCTGAGAAGAGACATTTAAATTATGCTCAGTTTCTCGCTTGTGGTTAACCATGGTCAAGTCTGGGCTTGGAACTGAAGAATAGGAGAATGCAGAGAATGCTGCTGGCCCAGATCAAAACAGTGCCGAAACTGTATTAGAGTCAGGGCGCATTTCCTGTGCAGTCTGTGAAACTTCTAATTTATTTCTGTTCATTGTCTTCCTAGATGAACAACGAATTTGTTGAGTAAAAATGCAGGTTGTTGAATAGGTTGCCTTTACTTAGAGCAGCCTCCATTAACTGAGGCAGCAAATTATAGTTATGAATCATCAGGAATGGAATATATATATATATATTTTTTTGAGACAGAGTCTCACTTTGTAGTTCAGGCTGGCTGTGAACTCACTATGTAGCCCTTGCTGGCCTCAAACTCTTGGCCAATCTCCTGTCTCAGCCTCAAGTGCTAGGATTACAGATAGGTGCCACCATGCCCAGCAGAAAATGGTGTTTTTTAAGGTGTAATTAACAGAGGTCTTGAAAAAAACAGATACATTTATCCTTATAGTACATTATGTGGGTATCCTGTGAAAAAAATTGGCTTATATCACTAATAGTTTATGGACTGCATTTTTTTTCCACTTAGGTTTGACTTAGCATAAGGCACTGGCATTATGAGAATGGCATTAAATAGTTAAATTACACATTACATTGTAGTTCAAAGTGAGGAGAATCCACAGACCTCTAATATCTTCATGAGTCTTTAAAACTCTAAGTTGACAAATGGAAGTCAAATAAAAAACTACTAAAGTTGTAAACAAAAATTGCTTTGAGTCAAAGGCCACCAATAAAAAGATAATTAGCAAGATCACTTGGGCTCAAATACCAAATAAGATGCCCATATAGATCAATGGGAGTGTAAAACAAAAAATCCAAAAGTAGTTTCTAAGTTTGCAGTCTCAAAAGAAGTAAGGATTCAAATGTCCTGGAAAATGTACCATATACTTTTTTGGCCTTCTAACCTCAGCTCCGAGGGATCATGCAGTTTGGACCTGGAAAAACAGTACCTCTTCAGACGACCGGATGTGTACAGATATTGGAGATTATGATCTCCTGTATGCAATGGAATTTATGCCTGGAAATTAAAGAATTAATTTATGACTTTCCCTACCTGTTTGCAACGTGCTCTGCTTATTATTTACACATTGTCATGCATGGTAATTAGGATGCTGAAAATAATGTGCAGCACGTGACCACGGTAGTTAGTTTTAAGGGGGCAATTTGTTCAGTCCACACATCTGGTTTTATCATTTGCCAAGTGGTTAATACAGGAATATGACAGTGAAATTCTATCAGTTTTATTTGCTAGGAAATACAGCATTTTTCTCTCATCTCCCCCAGCATATCAGATTGACCTCAAATTTTGTGCCCTAAGATATATCTGAGTACAACTTGAGAGACAGCTTGTTTTGGTTGAATTTCTGTTAAGTTCCACGGTCACAGTTTGGATGGGTCTGCAGCCCTTATTTAAAAAGCCCAGCTAAGCCAGTTGTGGTAGAGGCATGTACCTGTAATTCTAGCACTCTGGGAGGCTGAGGCAGGAGGATAGCAAGTTCAAAACCAACTGCAACAATTTAGCCACACCTTTTATCTAAATATATGAATGAACCAATGGCTGGGACATAACTCAGTGCCAAGTTCCACAGGTTCAAACCCTAGTACTGCCCAGTCACAAAGGAGAAAACCTAAAGCTTACTCTGAAAAGAGAGAAGCCATCAGGTACCTACCAGATAAAACCACGGAAATTAAATTCTAAATTTTAGACTCCCTTTTATTGAAATATAAGTTTGTTTAGTATATTTACACCACACTTTATGCACATATATACATAGAAGGCAAATTCTGTCAAATAAAAAAGTTCTTAATAAAAAAATTAAAATAAAAACAAAGTAAAGTGCACAGAACTGATTTTTTGCTTTTTCCCTTCTTGTGAACATTATCGTCAAAAATTTGGTCAGTTGGGAGGGGCAAGAAGCAACTCATTATTCGACTCAGTGCACACAGCCAGTCCTGAATTCATTGCCTTCAGGACCAAACGAGGAGGAGAGGTCAGGAATGAGTCAGACAAACCATCAGGGCTCCCTAGGGTGTGGAGGTCTTGCTCTCTTTGTACTACTGGGGCTGTAGGGCTCTGAACAGTGATCTCACCATCGCGGCTCTGGAACAAAGAGAGCCCACAGGAAGGGGGCTCCAGCAGCCAATGTCACAGCACCACCGGGGCCACCAGGGCTGCATTTGGTAGGAAATTGCAAAATTAGCTCAACGTCAAATGGAAGTTTTCCTTTTTTGGAAAGGGAGTGGGAGTGGGTGTCCCAAGAAGCGGGTGTATCTCTCATTGGGAGAGCCACCTCAGCTGGGACCAAACCCCAGCAGTTTTCTTCGGATCCGATCTCCTGGCTGGCATCAGAAATAATCCTTTTATAGACTGGGTGGAGGGAATGTTAACGCTTCTCGCCTCGGTGAGTTTGCCCTCCCAGACTTTGAAAGGAAACAGTGTGGGATTAAAAGAAAGGGGCAGATGGGTGAAACAGTTTTTAGACACTTTCGAGCCTGGAGCCACTGGCTGGGCATTGGCCAGCTGGTCCCAGGCACTGGCACAGGCGACAGCCCTTACCCTGTCGTCCATACCCCAGTCCGAATCTCCCTCTCTTCCTGGGATGATGTTAGGTCCCCGGTCGGCGGCCGTATTTGGCCTTGCAGTGCAAAATGTGCTTGGCGAGGAAGTCGAGGCGGCGCTGCAGCAGCTGAGCATGAGGGTCGGCAAGCGCAGCCAGCTCTGGGAAGCGAGGCTCGTGGCGCCGGTAGAGGCGCAGCAACCGGGCTGCCGCGTCCTGACCGCGGTGCATCTCCAGGACGCGCCTCGCCGTGCGCTCTCGGAACACGCACACCGACTGCAACAGCGGCTCATTATACTTGTCCCACATGCCTGCCACTCGGTAACCATGCACTAAGCCCGCTTCGTTGTCCAGAAAGACCAGAGCCCCGCCGGGACCGCGGTGCAAGTTACTGGTGGCGCGCTGCATAACGCGCGGGTCCCATTGCAGGCTGAAAAGATTGCTCACGAGCCTGTCGAAGTTGGCTGTCAGATAGTCAAAGAGAATCAGGTCGGTCCATTGCACCAGGTCCACCAGTTCCGCCTGGCTGAGGTTGGCCAGCTCTCCCCCGGCGTCGCGTAGGGGTCGGAGACGGCCGTCCTCTGAACGCCAAGGCGCAGGCACCAACACGTCGGTAAGGTTGGGCAGCCAGCGCGTCAGACTCACCACACTGCCCTCGGTCCAGTGCGCAGCGCGCAGCTCCTCCTGCACCTGCGCCCACTGCGCGCCCCTAGCCTCCACCCGGGCCAGGGCGAGAGGTGGCACGTGGCGCTGGAGGCCCAGCAGGCGAGCCAGGTAGTAGGACAGGGCCTCTCCTTGTATCTGCTCCGGGTTGATGCCATACCGCACGCAGGCGCGAGTGCCGTCGGCAAAGCGGGCCAGCCGGTTGGAGCTGCGCCCGCAGCCCCCGCGCTCCAAAGCCACCACTCGCGCGCCGCGCGCCGCCTCCAGCCACGCCGCCGCCTGGGCCTCGGAGAAGCCCCGGGGCACCTGCTCCTCCAAGCCGCGGCTCCAGAAGACGCCCCCGCGCACCGCTGAGCGCTCGGCCGGCCCGGGCCGCCGGGATGGCACGTGCCGCCTGCGCTCGCCGGGGAGCCGCCAGGGCGGGCCGTCCGAGCCGGCCGCCAGGGTGAGCAGCGCCCGGAAAGTTTTCAGGGAGCCGCCGCGGGCGTCCCACGCCACCAGGGGTGGGGGCAGCGGGAAGCGAGGCGCGGGCGCGGGGCGGCCACTCCGGACCGGACGCCGAGACAGTCGTCGGTCTTCTGGCGGTGGCCGGGAGGCTGGCGGCTCAGTCCGCGGTGGCAGCAGCCCGCCCCACAGCGCCAGCAGCGAGCCCAGCGCCAGGAGCCAGAGCCCCGCGGTGGCGGCGGCGCCCCGCATCCTCCTCCCCATGCTCCCGCGGCGGCCGCCGCTTCAATCCGAGCGCGGGCGCCCGGGTCCGGGTGGCGAGGCGGGCCCGGCAGCTTGTTGGCTGCGGGGCTTCGGGCGCCTGAGCCCCATCGCGGCCGCGGAGCGCTGCGGGGCTCTGTCCGGCGCTCTGCCCGGCGCTGGGAACTCGCCTCGCCGCCGCTTCCCAGCTGCTTTTGTATTTCGCTGTGAGACCCTCCGGCGGGCGCGATTCACAGGCGCCCGGACCACGTGGGAGCGCGGGGCACCCCCTCCCCCTCCTCCGCCGCCACCACTCCCCGCCCCCCGCTCCCCGCCCCTTCGCCGCCTCTTCCCCTTAAAGCGGCGATGGATCCTTCCAGGAGGGAGAGGCGGCCCCACGCTCGGCTGGGGACTTAGGGGCCGGGAGGCAGCCGGGCGGGCCGCGCACACGCGGGGGCGTCGGAGGGGGGCTGGAGCCGGAGTCAGAGGCTGGGCTGGAGAGACGCGGTCCCGCCCTCGCTGGGTGGGGCGGGGTGGGGTAGGGCGGTAGCTGAGTCCCTAGACTTGGGCTGTGCCAAACCTGCAAACTTCACCCAGATCCCCCATCTACAGTACAGTACGAGGAGGGGATCAGGGCGGGTCCCTTTGCTTTCCCCGTAGGATTCACGCTGCTTTATGCAAATTTCCGGGAACCATTTCTGGCCCCAGAGGCTGTGGCTCTAGCCGGATAGGGAACCATCTGTAGCTAACAAGTTTGGAACCGACACCCGCTTTCACAGCTCGTTCATGGGTCACTGCAAGCTTGTGTGCTCTGAGATTGGCCATTCTGCCTTCCCCAGGGACCCCAGGAATTAAACCTCGCGGTGCAAATAGCTCATCGTTCGTGAGTTCATTCAACAAAGAGCAGCTCCGGCTCTGGTATGGAGCGGTGAAGTCCACGTATCTGGGTTCCAGTGCTCACTGGCTCAAGTGACAGGTTTAGGTTGCTGAGCACACTGTAGTCTGGGATGTGCTAGGGAGAGGGACATTAGGGGCAGCGTCTCTGGAAAAGCGGTACTGTTTTTCCCTCCGGGGAAACTGAGGCACGGCTAAGGGATGAGGCTTTCTCAACATCATCCTGTGAGCAAGCAGAAAAGCTAAAAGTCAAACCCAGATTTGCTGGTCTTTTGATTTTTCTCTTCTTCAAGAAAGTTCAGCGTTCTCAAAATTTTGAACCATTGTATTTCCACACTGCAATTTTCAATTAAACAAACGCAAGCGAACAATATCCCCATATTGCCTTTGACTTACAGCTTTAACCACACAGGAAAAAGTAAGGGCGGGGAAGTGGTGGAAGAGCAAAACAAAACCCCCAACTCATCTTCCAGGCGTCCTTTGGTTCAACCCACCAGGACATCTCTAGGAAGCCCTCTGCCTTGAGTGCAGTGCATCTGTGATCCAGACCTGGAACCCCGAAGTTAGACACCCGCCTGGGGGGTGGGTGAGAGTGGAATCCACCTCCTGAAAGTCAAGAGTTTGAATGTTTCCTTACACGTATTTCTTTTCTCTGTTTTTATCTCCCGTCAGATGTTGTTATCGACTCTACTATATCAGCGGGCATTGTGTATTTTGTTCTCCAAAGAATGAATGTTCTCGAGTTCTAGGGCAGACATGCTAATGTTTATTGCTGAGCACGGGCAACAAAAAAAGAACCCATTTGAGACCTTTCTGCGCTAACCAGTATGTATATTTTCGTGGGCCAAAGTGTAGGGTCTTTTGTTTCCGTTCTGAACCACATTATAGCTAGAGCATGCCTTTTTATAGTTCTTATCTGACGAAGGGATTCAATGGCTCCCTTATGAATACATCAAAATATATTAATTCATTAAAAAAGTATTATATCCTTGTCCTGGGCAAGCTCCTTCCTCCATTTTTCCCTAGTGGGCAGATACTGTATCTTATCAAATTTGTGTTTATCTTACCACCTAAGATTGTATATTTCACTAAATAAGTCCTCAATAAATTGAATTTGATTTCGTCATTTGGTTTAACTTCTACTGGGAATTTTTTTTAACAAAATGTAGTCCTTTCAACCTGGGCAAAATGTAAGCAAGATCTCCACCTTGTGGATGTAAGTAGAATATCATCTACTGAGACAAAATGTCCATATATATGTATTTTTTTTTAACCTGGAAGATTAATGAATTTAAACTCTGAGAATGCTAAGAGACTGTTGTAGCCCAGGCGTGTACTAGGAAGTGTGGGGGACTTCAGAGTAGTTGGTGGCTCTGGCTCCGTGGCTGTTAACAAAAGCTATGAATAAATGACTACTGGGGATCCTTCACTGTGAACTGCACAAGTCACTCTTCCTTTGTTTTATGGCCAGTTGGGCACAGTGCCTGGCACTTAGTGGGTGTTCAAAAAAGGTCTGATGAATAAATCATTCGGGTTCTATGAAATGAAGCTGTGCAAGTAGTATGTTTCAAAATCTCAAGGGACTCCTCACTCCGAAAGGTCTCAAAATGTTAATATTAAAAGGAAAAATATGGATGGGGCTTTGCATAAAGAATGTATGATTTGGGGTCATGGTATTGTATGATTTGGTGTCTGGCTTCAATGCTAGACATCCCAAGTCCAGTGTCTCCCAATCGTATTATTGGTAATGATGACGAAACTAGAGCTTAAAAGTTGGTTACCATCTTCCACTTCAAAACATGGACTGTTTTTTTTTTTTTTTTTAATTGAACAGCCCTTTGTTTTAGCCCCAGGACTGAATGCAGGATTTATTCATAGAAACTTTAACAAGTTCATTGAAATGCAGAGTTATTTCACAAGGAATAGCCTCGTGAAAATGCAATATGGCTTTAGAGAAGTGTTCAGATATTTCAGATAATACATAAGGCCACACTTCTTTCCCTGCTGGATGAAAGTCCTCCCGTTGTCCTTTAGTTCCAAGCTTGAAGGGTCCCCTCTTGCATCCCAGGTCAAGGCATTATGGTTGTTGGGGTAGACAGAACATCACTGCATGTACCTTCAGTCCTGGCATTCGTTTGGGGGATATGGGAAAGTGCTCAGCCATCCCTGATTTTTAATCCTTTCTTATTCCTCTTTGAGTTCCTCCCTGAACCAGTCTTCCTCATCTTCAGTGGATCAGTGGCTCCTGGCGAAAGAAGGGAGGTAGGACTGAGTGTTGGGACAGGGAAGGAGGCTGGAAGTTGAAAGATTTTCTAAGCCTTGGCTTTTCCATTTTCTGGGTTGTTCCTTGGGCTAATTTCTGCCTTCCGAGTTTTAATTTCTGAATCTGAGAAATGAGGGTAATAAATCCTACCTAACTCATGGGCTTGTTTGCAGTTCATGAAATATGAATAGTAACCATAACAACGGTGGCAGCGAACAGTTATTGAATGCTCATTATGGGCTTAGTGTGGGGCTAAACTCTGCATGTGCTTTATCCCAATTAACACTCCTGACAAGTATCATTATCGCCCCCACTTTACAGATGGGAAAACTGAAGTGTAGTCAGTAATTGCCTGAAGTCAAACAGCAGCTAAGTGACAGGGTTGAGGTTCAAGAATGCTTTGCGGATTGCAAACTGCTGGAGCAATGTCCAGAATAAAAATCACTCCATTAAATCAAAGTAAATTCAACTCAGATTAAATTTTGTTTTAAAATGTTCTCTGGGGTTACTGCTAAGTGAAATGGTTAATAGTATAAACTCTTAAGCCAGATTAGCTGCATTTAAGAGCTAGCCCTGCCACTTACCAGCAGTGCGAATTACTTAGCCTTTCTGTGCCTCTGTCTACTCATCTGTAAAATGTAGCAATAGTAGCATTATTAGTATTGCCAAGAATATATGTAATATCTAATGTTTAATATAAGGTGATGGTTATTATAATTGAGGTGATTAAATTAGTCATTTTCGTTTTCCAGTATTGGAAAAAAACACAGGCCTTTGCACTGAACTACACTAGAGCCCTTTTTACATTTTTTGTTTTGAGACAGGGCCTTGCTAAGTCACTACATTGCCCAGGCTCTGCATGAATGTGCAGTCTTCCTGCTTCAGCCTCCCAGAATGCTCAAATTATAGGCTGTAATGGTTTATCTCTAGATGTCCCCCCAAAGCCTCATGTACTCGTAGGTGGGGGTTTAGGGAAGTGATTGGGTCTTGAGTGTGTGACACTCATCGGTGGATCAGTCCACTGATGAATTTGTAGCTAAATGTAGTGTTGGGAGATAAAGCCTGGTTGGAGAAGGTGGGTCCCTGAGGGTGTAGCCTGGAAGGGTCCATCTCCCTGCTTCTTCCCTGGATCTGTTTTTCTGTTTCCTGCTGCTGTCCATGAGCTGTTTTTCCCCTGCTGTGCCTTTCTGTCATATGCTACTCTACCTTGGGGCCAGCAGACTACAAACTGAAACCTCCACAAACTGAGAGCCAAGAGAAAGCTTTCCTCATTACAATTGTGAGTGCTGAGTGTTGTGTATCAGCAGGGAGACAGTGACTAAGACATAGACTTACACACAGCCAAGCCCTAATGTTTGAAGTGTTTGAAAGATCATCTGAGGGTTCATTGTCCTCCCTGCTGTTCTCTACCAAGTCTCTCACTTAGTCTTGAGCAGCCTGACATGGGTGGTGCTCCAGCCCATTGCCTTTTCTTTATGTCCCCTCTGGCATCTTTCCTGACAACTCTGCACCTTCTCTTTGTTGCTGAAACAACTGGCCGCTACAGAACAACTCTTGTTGAAAGCCCGGAGCCTCCAGCCAGTTATAAGCAGCCTGCTTCTGGG